TTCCACCTCTCAAAAGATAGATGAGACTTCGCAAAAATCAAAGTAATCATGATCCTCAGCATCCACCATATCAAGGAGGTGAAGTACCCAATTTGGCTGGCGAATGTTGTCCTCGCACCCCCGCACCCCCCCCCCCCGCTTTTAGAATGTGTGTGGACTACATGGACCTCAACAAAACTTTCCCTATGGACCCTTTTCATCTCCCCAATATTGATCAATTGGTAGATGAGATGAGCGGGTGTGAGCTCATGTCATTCCTTGATGCATTCTGAGGATACCAGCAAATTTTCATGCAAGAAGACGACACTGAAAAAACAACATTCATGACTCCGAAAGGCATCTTCTGCTACATCGTCATTGGCTTCGGACTAAAAAACTCTGGTTCCACTTACACTAGAATGGTGGAAAAATTGTTTAGGACAGTACTCGATCGTATGATGGAGGCATACGTAGATGGCGTGATCATAAAAAGCAAACACTCCTCGAGCCACGCTGATGGCCTCCGAGAGATCTTTGAAATCATAGAGAAATTCAATCTGTGCTTCAACCCAAAGAAATGCACCTTTGGCGTGCAGGGAGGCAAGTTTCAGGGCTACATGGTTAGTCGAATAGGAATTGAAGCAAACCTCAAGAAAATCCAGGCCATCACAGAAATGCATCCACGTCGGGGCACAAAGGAGGTACAACGGTTGACCGGCCGACAAGATGCTCTCAATCGTTTCCTATCAAAATCTGCTGAGAAATCACTACCCTCCTTCCAAATCATGTGCACGGCAATAGGCTTCCAGTGGGCACCAGAGTGCCAGCAAGCTTTCCTAGAGCTAAAGACGTACGTCGCCTCTCCCCCAGTCCTTTCCAAACGCATGGCCGGAGAAACACTATATTTATAACTCGGTGCGAGCGCAACGGCTATCATCTCAGCACTCATATGAGAGGAAGCAGGGGTGCAACAAACCACCTTTGGTGTGCACGGAGGTAAGTTTCAGGGTTACGTGGTTAGTCGAATAGGAATTGAAGCAAACCCCGAGAACATCCAGGCCATCACAGAAATGCATCCGCCTCGGGGCACGAAGGAGGTACAACGGTTGACTGGCCGATAGGCTGCTCTCAAAATCTGCTGAGAAATCACTACCCTCCTTCCAAATCATGTGCACAGCAATAGGCTTCCAGTGGGCACCAGAGTGCCAGCAAGCTTTCGCAGAGCTAAAGACATACCTCGCCTCTCCCCAGTCCTTTCCAAACTCATGGCCGGAGAAACACTATATCTATACCTCGGTGCGAGCGCAACGGCTATCATCTCAGCACTCATATGAGAGGAAGCAGGGGTGAAACAAACCATATTTTATGTGAGCAAAACGTTGAGGGAGGCATAGCTGAGGTACATGCCGATTGAAAAAACGGTGATCGCCATCACCTGGATGGTGAAAAAGCTGACGCACTACTTTCAACCGCACTCGTCGATGTCCTCACTCACCACCCCTTGGTGCACTAATGAGGAGCCCTACCATCTCATCTCATATGGTCAAGTGGGCCGTGTTCCTCATCCAATACCAGATCTAGATAAAACCAAGGCCATCCATTAAGGGCCAAGCACTTGCAGACTTCATTACAGAATGCATCGCAAGAGAGGCTGCACCCGTCACCTAGGATGCCGAAAGGAATGATACGCGGATGCTCTACATCGTTGGCTTCTACACCGACGGTTCCTCAGTGTCAATAGCATGTGGGGGTGGTGTAGTCCTCGTCACGAGAAGGTTTCAAGGCCTACTATGTAGTGCGCTTCTACTTCCGTGTTTCTAACAACGAAGCTGAGTATGAGGCCCTCCTCAACGGTCTCAGGCTGACGGCTAGCCTTATAGCAAAAAACATCATTATCAAATGCGACTTCAAACTGGTAGTCGGCTAGATCACCGGGTCATACGAGCCAAAGGAAGGGCGGATGAGGCAATACAAGCAAGTTACGGAGTAGCTCCTCAAGATCTTCGAGTTGCACAACATCAACCATATCTCGAGGGGAGAGAACACGGAGGCTAATATACTCTCGAAACTCATCTCGGGGGTCACCCGAGCACATCAACAAAATTGCACGGGTCGAAGAGCTCAGCATGTCGAGCATCCACGCCAGCCTCATCCTCTGCATCCTGTCGCGGCCCTCGGATTGGATTTCTGACATCATCACATTCATCAACTCCGGGGAACTGCCGGAAGAAGAGGAGAGGGTGAAACTTTCCATACTGAGATCGCCAAGTTACACCATAGAAAATGGTAAGCTCTACAAATGGTCCTATAACAACACCCTCCTTCGATGCCTTCACCCTGATGAGGCCGAGGTAGCCATGGAAGAAGTAAATTGTAGCGTCTTCTCCTTACACCAAGGTCCCTTCAACATTTTCATACACCTCATTGCCCAAGGATATTTCTGGCCAACAATCGTTAGGACTGCGTTGAAGTGGCAAAGACATGTAGTACATGCCTCCATTTTCAAAGAGCGTCGGGGCACCTAGCGGTCAACTATATGCCGGTTAGTACCGCCATTCCATTCTCGAGATGGGGTGTGGACCTGGTGGGACCTCTTACGAGAGGAGCCGACAACAATAGATACATCATTGTTGCTATCGACTACTTTACCAAGTGGATCGAAGTTGAACCACTAGCGAGCATCACTGCCCGAGATGCGCCAAATTTTTGCTAAAAAATATTATCACCCGCTTTGGGCTCCCCAACCAGATCATCTCGGACAACGGCGCCCAGTTTGAGTCGACCCCTTTTTAGGAGCTCCTCGCAGAGTGGGGCATAAAACACAACTTCTCCTTTGTTGTGTATCCTTAGGGCAACATGCAAGTCGAGAATGTCAACAGAACCATACTGGAAGGGCTCAAGAAGAAGTTGAAGGTTGAAGGATGAAACTGGGTTGATGAGCTGCACAACATACTCTGGCCGTACAGGGCAACTCCGAGGCGAGCGACGAGCGAGACACCATTCGCCCTGTCCTACAGATTCGAAGCGAAAGCCTCACCGAAGTGATCCTCACATCTCGGAGGGCAGAGGAGTATGAAGCAGAAAGAAATGACGAAAATATGAAGATTGATCTTTACCTCATCTCGGAATGAAGGGAACAGACCTACCTACAGGCTGAAAATTACCGGAGACAGGTCAAATCCTATAATGATGCCAAAGTCCGCTCCAGGGAATTTCAAGTGGGGGACTACGTACTCCAAAAATGGGAAACAAGCCAGCCAATCGAATGAGGGAAAATCGCCCAAAAGTATGAAGGTTTGTACATTGTCACCGTGGTCATAAGGGCGGACACCTACAAACTCTGACACTCGAATGGGTCCGAAGTGCCACGGTCGTGGAATGTACACCATCTAGTCAAGTACCACCAATGACCTCAGGCAGTGGTGACAGGCAAAAGCCCCCACGACCGAGCTTCATTGAGAGTACTTCGCCCTCAAACTAGAGCCAGTCATTAATAAAAAGCACTATTTCCTACCTATCTCTAAAGAGTTAAAAAGGAACAAATTTTAAGTAAGTCACCGCGGTTATAATCTGGGAAAGTGAGGCCAATAACGACTTAACTCGGAACCTTAGGCTCACAAAATGGCCAAAAGCCGAAAAGGAGTCACTTATTGCATCGTCCTCTTAGGGACGACAAACCCACAAAATGGTCGAGACTTCCAAAAACTCCAAATACTTAAAGGCAATTTTGAGGGGCTCTATGCCGCAACCCTATAGCCTGACCCCAATACCCAAAGGTCGGGAACCCTTTCAGTGCAGCAAGATCCATTGGACGAGGCGCGACAAGTGACCCACCTAGATCTCATGCACAGATCCATAACAATTATCCTCTCGCCCCAAGGGGTGAAGAAAACTGTAGATCCACGGGACGAGGCGCAACAAGTGACCCCTCGATCCCATGCACAGATCCATAAAAAATACCCTCTCGCCCCAGATGGTGAAGAGAAGTACAAAGAAAAAGAGGGGAGCCGAGGACAGGGTGATTAGTCAGACTCGGGCAACAAAAAGGAACTACATGTGTTTCTCCCCCTCAACGTAATCGCCTTTAGCGGCAAGAAATTTGTTGCCTTCTAGGGTCTGCAACCATTACTCATGGCGGGCTGCAATCACCGCACCCGGGCGTGGTGATCCTCAGCCTCCCAGACTCCAGCCTTGAACTGAGGAATCAAGTCAGCAGCCTCAGCCTTAGTTTTCCTCATCTCCTCGTCAGTGCTAGCCTCAGCAACCTCAGCTTTCTCCTCTAGCTTTTTCCATCATGGCCAGAGCAATGGCGCTTTTCTTCCGAGCCTCCTTAGATGCAACCTTCTCGGTATGTAGCCTCAAAACCCCGGCCTACAGCTGCTTCAGAGTAGTCAGAGCTTGACCGTGCTCCTCGTGCTGGCACGCCATTTGTTCAAGCTTCTTGGTCTTAGCGCATCCGCCAGTCATACTCACACAGAAAGGCATTTCCGCCCTTCGTCCCTGATGCATCTCCTTCGCAAGTCATGCTTGATGATGACATTTTAACGTACACGTTATGATGCCAAATGTAGGTTTCAGTATAGAAACTATTTAAGAGAATTTAGAAGAACAAAGGAACAATTGAATATAATATGTGTTTAAATATGAGCAGAAACTAGCTACACATTGAATATAGTCGTTATTCAAATAAAACACCAATGTACCATTATTTATAAGAGAGAAAAGCTAAAATGTCAATTCATAATTTTGCTCCACGAGGCTATCTTTTAGGAAATAGAAAAAGAAAAAAACAAACCGCGTGTATGGCATATTCCATACACATGTTCCCATTTCAGGCTATGATTCCTGAAGTGCAAATGGAATATGTCAACACGCTTAAACTCTGAAGCTAAGTGACAAATGTGTTCTTGGCAAAAAAAATGCCTACACAAGACAGTGATATGATGTATTACATATACCTACAAAAAACTAGGTATTGTGTATACATATGTCTTGCATATATACTCTGTATTATGCATTTATGTATATATACTAAGTAGTACTACTTCCGTTCTTAAATAAATGCAATTGTTAACATTTCATGTTTGTCCATGCACAACTTTGACCATTAGTTGTGAGAATAATGGAATGGCTTACCAATGTGGTAGCCCTAGATGTCATATATATAATAAAACATGTCCCGATTACAATAGGAAACCTAATAAATATGGAAACCTAATTAAGGTATTAAGAACACTATTACAACCCCTCAAGTTGTGCATGGCGAATGGGAATGCCCAATTCGAACAAGATGGAGCGAATATGAAGAGTGTCCCGAACCGTGTAAGCAATAGCCCAACATTTAGCTTCTGTGGAAGAGCCGGAGACAATGGGCTGCTTCTTGGACTTCCATGAGACTAAATTAGGGCCCCAAAAAATACCAAATCCTGAAGTAGATCGACTACTATCGGGACAACCAGGCCAGTCAGCATCCGAATAGGCCTGTAAGGTAGGAGAAGAAGTGTTCGGCTGAAGAAGCAAGCCATGATCTGCAGAACCTTGGAGATACCTGAAAATACCCTTAACACCCTGAGAAGTACGGGACACATTCATAAACTGAGAAACCAGGTGAACATCAAATGTAATACCAAGTCAAATCATAGTCAAATATCGTAAAACACCTACCATACTTCTGTACTCAGTAGGATCTGCAAGGAGATCACCATCTGTGAGAGACATTTTAGTTCGTGTATGAAGCGGAGTACGAACAAGCTTAAGAGTGTGGAGCTGAAACCTGGTGTTGTATCTTTTATTCCCTTTTAGTTCGTATAGTATCTTTTATTCCCTTTTAGTAAAAAAATTAAGATTTTGAAATTTAGGATGAAACAAATTCAATAATATAATATCTAAAATAAATTGTTAATACATTTGATGGAGTTTAATCCAACTATGAGAGCTAAATTCAACGATATATTGAAATATAATGGCGTAAAGCAATGTAATTCTTATTCGAGAGAATGATTTTCCATCCCCCTCTGGGAGAGTTACAAGAATTATTTATAGGTTACAAGAATTGGTGTCCTAGAAGGAAACCACTGCTTTAAATGCTATTAATCACGGAACATATATTATTTGAAATAGAACTCCTGTAGCATCTAGATCGTTATCCAATTATCGTCTCCTTTGAGCTTACATCTCTTGTTGAGTCCGGTCTGAATAGCTATGCTCAAATAATATCCTGCCACGTAAACCCTAAGAGCATCCTAACCTCGTTAGAACTCCGCCCAGACTTGAGGTCTGCTGTCCAACCCGGCCTGGCTGCGTATTCCTATTGTGGGTTAATCCCTAATTGGGCTTGGAGGCTTCGTTAACATAAACCCGCTTTAGGGATTGATCCCATCCATAGGATAACCCCGTCAAGGGCTGACCCCGTTATGGGCCGGACTATGCAACTGGGCCATGGTCAGGACCCATGGTACCATCACGAGCCCCCCACTCTCTAAATCAGCAGGGCTGATTTTAGGAGAGTAAGTCGAGCGGTTCAACCAGTTTCAAATTTCAAATCCTCTTGGTGGACTGTAGCGCCACTTTGCATTAAATGAGGGTAACACGTGTCTGATACGAGCCCTCAGCCCAACAGAACTCACAAATCACCTCTCTGCATTCAGTACTCGAGTGCTACAATTGCGAATTCTAAACAATCCCCTAGCCCTAATTTCTTGATTATTGAAACGCCTACTGTCCTCTCCAAAGCTCTTTTGCAATCTCATTTTGTTTGGGCCTTCGTCTTCTTGGTTAGGAAACCTAATCCGCGAAACTCCTTCCTCCGCCTTCACTTGTATCAGGTTAGTCCCTCCGATGTCTTCTGCAAGTTCTATTCTAATGCACCATGTGTTCCCTGATGAAGGGGCTATACTGAGTCGGTCCTGAATTCGGGTGGAACCAGATGGGAAAGAAACCCATCTCTTCCTCTCTTGCGAACACGCCCGACAAGTCTCGGCCGCAATTCTTTCCGATGTCGAGTTTGGTGAGGCGGTGGCCCTTGCGGGCCCTAGCGTCGTTTGCTCCCGCCCCTCTCCCAGGCAGAACATTGTAGATCCTCCTTCCCCTTTTCATTTTGGGGTCCATTTAGCCAGTTTGCAAATGGGCCTTCACTTTCCGTTGCATAATGCCCACCTGAATGTCATGAATTATTATGGCGTGATTCCAGGTCAGTTCTCCCCAACCACTCACATGTTCATCGTGGGGTTCATCGCGCGGTGCACTCACTTGCGAATTCACCCCGTCCTCGATCTCTTCCTTCATTTTTTCCATTCCGTGAGACCCGACGCTTCTGAATCCCCAGGTTATCTTTCAATTTCTCAACGGGTTGGCCACCGTTTGTTTGAAGCTAAATCCTACCCCGATTCCTTCAAGGGTTGGAGGCACAAACGGGTTTGGGTTACTCCTACGAATGGTAAACTCCAGTTTGAAAATAAATGGGGGAATTAATCCGGAAATGGGTAATGCGTTTCTTGTCGGAGGGGAACGCTGAAGCTGCTAAAATGATTGCTGATGGGGAGCCCTTCCTAATGGGGCATTATGTAGGTGAGGATGGAGTATCGACGCTTTCATATTTGCCAGGTCGATTACACCCGATTTGGCACCTTGTTTACTTTATTGATCGACCTGTCGCATTAATAATCTCTTTTTCTTGATGCATGCAGCGGGCGATAAGATGGCCTCTCGGTTGGAACGGCTTGCTGCCAAGGCTGGCGCCACCCCCAGTTTCCTGGTTCCCCTGAGGAAGATCCAAACCCGGGGAACCGTTGGGGCCGCCTCATCGAGGTTAGGGGGATCCATCCCCGGTGACAGTGTCAGGACTCTGAATACGCCGATCGTTAACCTTCAGCCCCCACTAACAAGGGGGTTGGGAAGAGGCTGGCACTCCGGCCCGTATCCGGGCCCAAGAAGAAAGGAAAGACTGCCTTGAAGTCTACTGAAGATGTAATTGACGTCGATTCTAACTCAGACGCCCAGTCCCAAGAAGGTGACAATCAGGGGAGGCCCCCCGACACCTATCCATACCGTCTGCCTCTCTATGAAGTCAGGTTCCACCTCTCTATTTCGTCGCACTGTGAACCTTGTGTCCTTGGGCTTAGCTATCACCCCCCCTGCTGATGTTGAGGAGGTAAATGGCTTATCTCCCCGGACCTCAGTTTTGCGGGCTGTCCATACCATCTCTGAGGTATGTACCTTTATCTGAATCTTCTGTAGCGAATGCTCCCTTTAGGATGGGAAGTGTAATCCCCTTCTTGTAAAATTCCTCCATTTTCAGGCCTTTATCCTTGCATCCTCCGGTTCCCACCGGTTGGTTGAGGGACACGATGATTCCCAGGGCCTGGTTGCCGATCTGAGGAACCAGGTGGCCGCCCTAGAACAAATGTTGGCAGTGGTGGAGATGGGACGCCTGACGGCGGTGAAGGAGGCTGGTTCACTGCATAAGAGGCTTGAAGACGTGGAGGCCGCACATCGGATCATGTAGGGGGAGCTAAGAAAGAAAGTCGAGGAGGCCGGTCCAGCTGCTGTTCAGGCCTTCTGGGAAAGTGCAAACTTCCTGGCTGAAGTGGAGCAGGTCATCCTGAGCCGTAGGACACAGATAGCCCAGGCCTGGATCCAGACTTCCCGAGGGCAAGGCCAGGCTGGATGAGGAGGGGCCCCTGTGCTTTCAGCTGGGACAATACGGGATGCAGAAGTCCCTCACTGATCTCCTCCGAAAAAGAGACCCCTCCTTTTCCGCCCAGACCCGAGGACTCCCGGAGCCGATGGAGAATCCGGAGGCTGCTGAGGAGAGCCCAACCCTGACAGTTCCAATCTCTGAAGTTCCCACTGCCTAATCTGGTAATTGATCTGACTTTTAGAACACTTCTATGAACATCTTTCCCAGGCCTGCGCGCATGCACTTGTTTTCCACCAGTGGGGTGGTTTGTAATCCAAACATCCTTACATTCCATTTTAATTCTGCACATACCTATACATTACCACCTTCTGACCATCTTCTCCGATTAACTTGATCTGTTTGATACCTTAATCTTTGCTTGCGGCTTCCGGCCCTATCCAAGCTAACCTCTTTCCTTGGGTCCTTTGCCCTCTGGGAAATGGACCTGTGCAGTTCATAAGTCCCTGGATGGCTCTTAGGCCTTCCTGATTTTCGTTCTCAATCACTTCTGTCCTTTGCATGTATTTGCCTTGAATTTCCGGTCAAGGTCGTCTTTCCTTTCTTAAGGATGACATTACCAATTTCGAACCCTTAGGCTCTTAGTAATTGAGCCAGGTCAGGTGGGCTTCCTTTTAGGTTGCTTTGACCTAAACAAGTGGCCTCTTAATTGGCGAGGCTTGTGAGCCTCTCCGGTGCAAAGTTAATTCCTTCCATTTCATCTTTAGCCTTGTAAAATCAGTCTTAACATTGATAAAGGTCGTCTTTTCCTGTTTGAGGGAATTTGACTTTGTTTGTAAGGCTGTTTAACCTTGAGAAATGTTTTTTTATTCCTGCTCTTGCTTTTTAGAAAGACGGGGTCAAGCTTTTGGAATTTAGATTAGTTTGGAATTTATACTTTGTCTTTTGCGAGTACCAATTAGGCACAAACTTCCTTTTTTTGGCCAGTTAAAAGACCTTCGCAAGTCATTCATAAAGGACATTTGTGAATGAAAACGAAACATTATTAAAATTCGAAATGAAAGGAAATTACATACTTTCTCGTAGGATTTCAATAAGTGTGCAGAATCCCACACCTTTTCTAACAGTTTTCCTTCTAGGGGTTCCCGACCTTGTAGGCCTCGGACCCAACAGTTCCTTCAATCTTACAGGGCCCTTTCCAATCCTCATACTCTGATGAACTATGTTCGATAGTATTGATCCCCATATCATGCCCTCCATGAGCTTTGCAGGCCCTTATATAACAACTTCTGGCCATACTCTGATCTCCCTTCACTACGTCTATCCCGGACGGCGTGTGAAACTTCATGCAAAGATGGGCCTAAGAGATAATGGCTCCCAAGTCTTCCAACATAGGTCGGCCCAGAATGGCCTTGTGAACACTGGGTAGTTGAACGACAACGAAATCTGTTTCGATCTCCTTGACGCACGGTCCCGACCCGAGCTGAATTTTGAGGGTGATTACCACCTCCGGTTCGATCGTGTCTCCGGTGAAGCCTGAAAGAGGAGTTCTTACCTGTCTGAGGGCTCCCTTCTGGAACCCAATCTCCACAAGGGTATCCATATATAGTATGTTGACTGAACTTCCATTGTCCACGAGAACTCTATGGACAATTGTAGCCATAACCTCCATCTTAACCACCAAAGCATCCCTGTGAGGCGGGGGACATGGGGGGAGATCATCGTCTGTAAAGGTGATGGATTCCCGCTTCGGCTTTTTCTCCACAGGGAGGCGGATGATCTCCCTAACGAACAGTCGTCGGTTCCATTTCTTCCTCTCTCCCGCAGAGTCCCCCCAACAAGCCCGCCATAAATATGGTGGATATGCGTGCACTTCTTTTACCTTGAATCCTCGCCTTCCTCATCTTCTTTGAACTGGGCTCTGACTTCTCTC